GAGATATTAATATGTTCTTATGCACAGTAGAATTGTAAATGGGCTGATTTATCAATGTCATGCTCATACTGTGGGGGAACTGTTGCTTTTTCTTTCCTCATCCTTACTATCGTCATTTTTTCCTCTACTGCTTTTGTACGTTTGCCACTCTTTTGGGAACTGCTATTTCCGGGGTGCCTTGATAATCGAAGCAGACTTTGTGCTGTTGAGGCTAGAGAGGTGAGCAGAGTAAGCCTGATTCCCCGTTTTGACTTCTCTGTTGACATCCACCCCTTGGCGCTCATATAACCTTATGTAGTTGGGAGCGCCGTAAAACCTTACTAAAACAAAAAAAAAAAATTGTTGGTTTTCAGGAGCCTCAGAAACTGTTGGACGTTTCTCTGATGTGTCGCAGCCACGAGAGGCCACCCATGTTGGACCTGAACTTCAACAAGTAAGGAAAAAAAATAAAAATTGGAGGCAGCTTAGGGTGGTGAAATTAGGCGCTCGTCAAAATAGTGAAAATGAAGAAACGGGCATTTTTCTACCAATTTGGCAATTTTTAATCAAATTTTTGTATTTAGCTCATCCCCTTTTATGTCTATTTGAAAACACATTTCTGTTTAGATTATAATGATAAACGTTGATAAAAAGCACAAAATATTAAAATTTTTAGTTTCCAAGGACTCTCAAGCTATGGAATTTACCAATCTTTGGCGACCATTTTATCGCTAATTTTGTCTCTGAAACTGGGCAACCTCCATCTCTTTCAATCGTGAATATCTCGACTTCTATTCAAGATAGATGGATATTTTTTTCATCAAAAAAACTTGAAAAATTAACAATCTTTAAGATGATTTCAATAAGTCCAAATGCCCAAAAATTGACGAGCGCCTGATTAGATAAAGCAAAGGAGAGCTTTAATGATGGGCTCCTCATCAATGATCTTTATCTTTTTTTTTATTGAAGTATAAAATATTCACGACAATGATTTTCAAAAGTTATATATGTCTACCTAGTGCAGGGGCTTTTGAGCTTTTGAAGACAGCAAAAATGACTCATCTTTGAATATATTATGGCCCTTGATTTTATTCTATTTATTGAACCCAAGGTTCCTCTTCTGTTTCTGAAATAGCTATACGCTCTTTAATCCTTCTTTATGAAGTATTGAAATGGTTTTTCTCAATCGAAGCTTCTCTTGAGCTGCTTTTAGTAGTTTTATATATTTTTGGTACAAGTCGTTTGTGTAGGCATGTTGTCTGTCTTAATTTTCATAGTTGGCTGTAGTGTTTACCTTCCTCAGCGTTCCTGTCCTTTCCAGTTTTTTCCTGTCCTTTCCTTTCCTCTTGTCTTTCCATCTGTTTGTTACTGCTTTAGGTCAAAGTCAAATAAGTAAACTCCGCTCTATTGTTCCTCCTTCCTTGGCTTCATTATGGATGGACGGATGACGCTCTGGGTGGTTGGCAGGTGCTCTGGTGTGGTTTGCTCCTTCTTTCCTATCAAACATTTATCGTCCTTATCTCCCCTCCTTCTTTTTTATGTTTGTTACTCTCTTGTAACACCTCTAATCTTCTGGCGCTCGTATGATCTTATGCAGTTGCGAGCGTCGTAAAACCTCCATTAAAATAAACAAGGAATGATGCTCAAATATTATTCTGTTCTTATAAACAGTAAGTTTGCTTTTCCCTGGGTTTCATCATATTTTCCTTAAGAGAACTGCTGAAAATGTTGCAGGAGATCTAAGGAAATTCTGTCGTCTCCTTGTCTCTTTCTTCTGCGTTTTTGTTCTATATATTTTCAGTGTTACTGTAGTCCTTTTCCTCTCGACTGCATCTTAATATTTCACTTTCTTCTTCTTCTTCCACGTTCTCAAATAATGAGACTTGCATGAAGCGGTTTTGGCTAGCCCAACTATTGGCACCTTTCGGTCCACCTCTCCGTCTTCTGCATGCTTTTCTGTCTGGGAGTGCTCCCATATCCTATAACTTTCCTGGGTTCGCCTGCTGGGCAGCAAGGGTTTTTGATCAGAGTTTTCCTTCCATTTCACTGATATTTGTCGCGCTTTTCCCCCCAGACAACTGCTGAAGATGTTCCAGGAGATCTACTATTGGGAACGCCTGGTGTTTGAGGTGCCTCACTACGCCGTGGAGGTTTACGCCAAGAGGGAAGATCTGAGGAACCTGAGGGAACAAGTCTTGCTGGTGGTTAGAGACTACAACAGGTGAGAGGGGATGGGGGATGGTGGAGGGGAGGATGAGGGATGG